GAGAGGGTCTTTGTCAGCGAAGAAATCACAGAGACCGCCATTAAGAGCAATGTTGATCATTGAAGTAGAAATACATGCCTACATCTATTAATAAGGAATTGTGGAAATGTGATTGACCTTAACACAGTAAAAAAAAAAAAGAAATATCAGTTTATTGAATCAAAGACCTTCATCGGGCCAACTTTGATTGTACATCGTAGGGAGATAGAAAAGTTTGTGATAATCTTTTACCCGTTCTGAAGCCAAAGCATATTGTCTCCTATTGACTTCCCACAGACAAATGCTGCCTGAGAATTATTGATCATACTTAGGAGTTAGGAGCACCTCTGCCATCCTATTCGCTAATAACTTTGAAATACCAGTGCAAACAGTATTGCAATCAATGTTGTCAGAACCGAACCGGAGTATGACTCGGAAATGTGAACGGCTCGGTCTTTAGTGATCCAGCCGGCATTAGACCGTTTAAAAACCGTTTGAGAACCAGTACCTAATAAACAATCATCTGTATAAATAGTGGACACTTCTTAATCATGGTAAATCACAAGTAAATTACTCTCTTAAACAATTCTAGAACATCAGTACCGAAATATATAAATTTCAATTCCAAACCACCACATTGTTCCAAAATAAAAGCAATATCACGCGACTCTGAACATGAAACAAGAGTCTTAAACTAAGTATAAACCATTACAAATTAAATGGAACATCAGCAACATAAACCATTACAAACAGCAACATAAACCATTACAAAATTGCTCACTGTAGCAACACAGTCACAAACACTTACCGGTGCAGGGGAGGGCAGTAGGGATCAGTGCAACAGGGGTCGGTGGAGAGGAGAGGCAGTGACCGGGGAAGGGAAGGGAGACCTCACCGGGGCACTCGCCGGCAAGGGCTCCCCCAAATCGGAGGGCAATGGCGACAGGGAATGACGTTGGGGAAGATGGCGAAGGCGACGGGTCACAGGGGACGAAGACGGCGATTTGGACTGGCGCTGGGGAAGACGACGATGGAGATGGGGAAGCGTTGGGGAAGACGACGATGGAGACGGGGAACGGCTGGGGAAGACGACGATGGAGACAGGGAACGGCGCCGGCGCTGGGATTTGGAGTTAGACTGGAAGCGGCGCTTTCTTGTCTCCACGAAGAAGATGGAGAAATGAAATTGAAATTAGGGTTCTGCAGCATCAAACAGCCCGACCCACCTTCCCCTTTAATTTTCGTTCTTTAGTTTTTGGTTTTTAGTTTTCAATTTTTTTTTTAATTAAACCAACATTGCCAATGTGAAAAACTGGACGACCGGCTCGAGCGGTTAATTGCTTCGGCCGCTCGCCGGCCTCCCCAGAGAACCAGTCCGGCTAAATAGCTGATCCGAGCCGGTTTTGTGTCCGGTTGACGGTTTTTGCGGTTCGACCGACCGGTCGGCTCAGCTTTCACAACACTGATTGCTATAGTAGATGGAGAGAACTCATTCATTGAATGCATGAGGAATCTTAGACCATTAATTAATATATAAAAGCCTAACATGTGAATTATTTATTTGGGTAAATATCATATTTAGTCACTGATATTACTAAATCGTGGCATGTTTAGTCACTAGAAAATTTTAATATCAATTTTGGTCACTCGAATTACTGAAACATGTCACATTTAGTCACTCTCCCGTTAGTTTGCGTCAAACTTCATTAATAGAGTTGGACAGAAACTAACGGGAGAGTGACTAAATGTGACTTGATTCAGTAATTCGAGTGACTAAATGTGACGCGTTTCAGTAATTCGAGTGACCGGAGTTGAACGGAGTCTAACGGAAGAATGACTAAATGTGACCTGTTTCAATAATTCGAGTGACAAAAATTGATATTAAATTTTTCTAGTGACTAAACATGACACGATTTAGTAATCTCAGTGACCAAATGTGGCTTTACCCGTTATTATTTATTAGTGGCTCTCAAACTACTCCAAGTGAAAGTGGGGAAGTTTCAAGTCTTTCTTTTACCTCACTCTCTCATTCTATAACGTATGTGTTCATCTATTTTCTGTCGGGTCTACATCTATTAGCCATTTTTTAATATATAAAAGCCTAACATGTGAGTTTTATTAGTGGCTCCCAAACTCCTCTAAGTGCAAGTGAGGAAGTTTCAAGTCCTTCTTTTACCCCACTCTCTCATTCTATAACCTATGTGATCATTTATTGTCTGTCGGGTCTACATCTATTAGCCATTAAGTTCCCTTGCTATAGTAATTATCGATTAGGTTTTCGTCTATGTTCTTTTGCCCAAATCATCACTTTGGCCCACCAATTCACAACCCATCTCGAAACACTATCGACAAAATCAATGAACAATAGATGTCATGGCCGCTACCGAATATCACGACCATTGCCGAATATCCATAACATATCTATTATGCACAATCCTCTCCTTCGCCCACTAAATTCACAACCATTCTCCAAACATTGTTGGTGTAATCCTAAGTTGTACCCATCCATCGTGTCTCAAGACCGCTACCGAAAATCCATACTAAATCTGCTATGTGTTGCCAAGTTTTGTATTGGGATCGAATTTCATATTCTTTAGTGTTTTCTTATTTCTCTTTCTCATTTTGGTTAAGCATGACAATTGAACTCAAACTCATAGTATCCAACCTAATTCGATCAGGTCAAAGCGACTCAAACCTGACATCTGTATTTTTAAATTTCTATTTTTTTCCCTTTTGTTGAGAATGACAATTGAACCCAAACCCATGGTATTAATGAGTTTTGTATCGAGAGCGAGTTTTATCCGCTTTTGTAGTTGACGGGTTGGGCCGAGTGTGAATTTTCTAAGAACTCAATTCGACCAGTTCAAAGCGAGCTAAACGAGTTTTGAATCGAGAGTGAGTTATGTCCGCTTTAATGATTTTTTATTTCTCATTTTCTCATGGGTATCCAACCTAATTCGACCAGGTCAAAGCGACTCAAACCTGACGTTAGTATTTTTAAATTTCTATTTTTTTTTCCTTTCGTTGAGAATGATAATTGAACTCAAACCCATGGTATTAATGAGTTTTGCATCGAGAGCGAGTTTTATCCGTTTTTGTAGTTGGCAGGTTGGGGCGAGTGTGAATTTGCTAAAAACTCGATTCAACCAGTTCAAAGCGAGCTAAACGAGTTTAGTATCGAGAGTGAGTTTTGTCCGCTTTAATGGTTTTTATTTCTTTTTTTCCTTTTGGATGAGAATGACAATTGAACCCAGACCAGGTGCTAACGAGTTTGGTATCGAGAGAATGTCTTATATTCTTTTAGAATTGGCATGCTGAGCCGAGTGTGAATTGTTAAAAACTCGGTTCGAACCAGCAAAGGTGAGCATCACTATTAATACAAAACATATAGAGGTCCAAACATGAACTTTTAGTGATTAGGTTTTACTTTACATATCACAGACTCCATTTTATAACAATAAAGTAACTTAAATTCAAAGGTAAGTAAGATTTTAAGTAAATGTTGTGTTTTCTATAACTTGATTTTATTATTAGACCATACATTATGAAACATTACTTTTAGTAATTAGGTTTTACATATCACAGACTCCATTTTATAACAATAAAGTAACTTAAATTCAAAGGTAAGTAAAATTTTAAATAGTAGTTTAAGTAAATGTTGTGTTTTCTATAACTTGATTTTATTATTAGACCATACATTATGAAACATTACTTTTAGTAATTAGGTTTTAATTATCACAGACTCCATTTTATAACAATAAAAGCAAGTTAAATTCAATGGTAAGTTAAGTTTTACATAGTTTTTAAGTAAATGTGATGTTTTCCATAAATTGATTTTATTATTAGACCAAACGTTACGAAATTTTTACACAGGTTCATTGAGTGAGCCCCTAACAAGCGACTCTGGCCGTCACTAAGCGCCGCTTCCTATAGCGGTAGGCCCGGGAGGGGAGCACCATAAGCACAACTAAAAGGTTTAAAGTCCTTTATGCTAGGACTGGGCATGCGGGCGGATCATCCGCGGGTTTGGGCCGACCCACCCGCATTTGACCCGAATTTCGTTAAGTGGGTGGGTCTGTGGGTGGGTGACGGGTTGAGCTGGGAGCCATCCGCCGGGTGGTGGGTGGGTTGTGGGTGAGTGTGCGGGTGACCCGCTCAACCCAACAGCAAAAAGATCAAAGTCGTTGACACTAGAGAGAGGAGAGTAGAGACGTTAGATATAAACTCGGACTGCTCCTGGAGTTTGAACCTCAAAGCCAACCTTCCAAATAGAGATCCCCTCTTCTTCCCTTTACTTTTTCATCTAATTCTCGTGCCTAGATCACCGCTCTTTCCTTTGTGGAATTATTTTTCTTAGTTCCTTGCACCTAATAATCGTCTCAATCTGTAGAAACTCTTTCATAATAGAATTTCTATCCAATTTAAGAACTAATTCGACATTTTTCGCCCTATTTCAACTTCTTGTTTCCCTCGATGATTCTCTTCACCTATTATCATGTCAAGTTGACTCCTTTTTAATATATACATTGTGATGTGGGTGAACCCATAAACCCACCCGCATCATCCACCATCCGCCCGACCCAACCCGAGACTAAATGTGGGTGGGTGGTGGGTGAAAAATTATCAATTCGTTTAAGCGCGGATGGGTGCATTTTATGGTCAAAATCCACCCGACCCACCCAATGCCCACCCCTACTTTATGCATCAAATGACGTTGTTGGAGATGAAAAGTTCACCCACGTAAAAGAACAGGGTTCGTAAATCGTAATGGCAAAAAAAAGGAACTGGGTTCGATAATTAGACAGGAAAGAAAATGTGTTGGTCGCCTGGGTATATTGGATTTACGCGGTTGATATGAATCTATGATTATATGATATAGACAGAAAGACTGAAGCATTAGATGCCAACCTCATCTCCTCCACAGAATAAAAGATGTCATATTTCTTGCCCTATAAATGGCGTTTCGTCGCCATACCTAAACAAACACAACAAAACAAACATATAGGAAAAAACCACAGAGAAATGGACAGAAGCTCCCATGAATACCACGCCCACATCTCGACCATCTTGAAGGCGCCCAGCCTTATCCATGGCGCTCCTCAGTACCCAAACGTCCACAAGGCCTTCAACCACGACCACAGAGCCTACTACGAAGATCTGCAGCAGCCCAAGCCCAAGCCCAAGAAGCGGGTCCAGTTGATGGATCCAGCTGCTGGTCATGTGGCGTACGAGGCGCAAGTTGTTGATTATGATGATGATGAGAGTAGTGTTGATTCTGAAGCTGATGGGTTCATCCAGCACAAGGTTGTCAAACCGGTTTATACCGTTGTGCCGGTTTGGCAAGTGGAATGGTACGACCGGTGGTATAACCAGTTTGTGCCAGTTCATGCCGGTCTAAAAAAATATGAAAACAATTAATATTCAATGTATTTAATCATATATAAAACATATTTGTGGACAATTTAGTTACAATCCAACAAATATCATCAACTTTTAACTATTACATTCATAAAATGAATAATAAATTATTTTTTTATTCATTAAAACGATGTCATTTTACTTAGAATGCGTAAGCCGATCATACCGGTCATACCGGTGGTGTCATGCCGGTTTTATGACCGGCACAGGTTGAACCAGGTTCAACCGGGTGGCATGCCACCGGCATGACAACCATGATCCAGCAGAAGCACAAGAACTTCGAGCTCTGCAAATGGAAGACTTTCAGGCTGTAGCATACTTAAAAAAGCTGCAGCTGCTACCTGCTGAAAGAGTGATTGACGACGTTATTATATAATAATTTTCGGCTAAATTACACGTTTGGTCACTCAAATTATATAAATCTTTCACATTTGCCACTCGAATTACTTTTCTTTCTTATTCGCCACTAACTTTACGAATCGTTTCACCGTTAGTCACCGGCCGTTACACTCCGTTAAATTTGTCCTACGTGGCAGTCAACTATAAGTTTGACCGTTAACTAGGTGACGTGGATATTAGAAAAAATAAAAATAAAAAATTTATTTTTCCACCTCATCATCCCACTTACTTTGTCTACATGATTTATCATATTAATTATATAATAAAAATTAATAAAATTAAAAAATTTAATTTTTCCCCCGTAGGCCGCCATTGCCACCAACCCACCACCGTCACCCGCATGGGGCTGTAAATGGCGGTTCCGGTGCTATCCAGCGCCACTACGTAGGAGACGAGAGTGTATTGGATTCTGTTGTAAGCTCGGTTGGGGAACTTGTTCACAAATACAATCACCGTCTCTGGGTCCCACCTCGCCGCCGTTTGGATGGCGTCCAGGATCGCCGAGTTTCACGACTATGAGATGAAGAGCTTGCAGCAGAGCAGCGCCAACTGATTCCACGCTCCCTTTCTGTTGCTCTATGAGAAGGAGAAAGAAGAAGAAGAAAAAAACCCAGCCCAGTTATTTGATTTTTCCAAATTAGCATCTTTACGGATTATCTATCCTCGACAACCAAACAAAACATTAAAACAACGATGAATTAAAAAGCTTGCTCTGCTGGTGCGTTGGTTCAAGAATAAGTAGAGGTCCATGGGTGGGAATCTATCGACCCAACCAAAATTGAGGAGGGAAAATATTATCCTATTATCATCCTACTATTGGGTTTTTGTATTGAGATTGATAGGAATGGTTTATGTTTAGCACGGGGTTCATATGTTTTCATGGACAGATCACAGATGTATGGACTATGGATGACCCTGGAAATTGCATTGCTAAGTCGGTTACCGTCAACAATCAAGTGGTAGAGGATTCCTTCCTACATGGGTGTGATTATGAACTTTTTGGGTTCATAACTTGCATGCTCAAGATGTATAGGATCTTAGCTCAATATGAGGACAGAGCAGGAGCAAAGCTGCAAAGAGACTAGAAAGCAAGAAATAATCGCAAGCATGTCCCCACACAGAAACAGAGTACATAATACAAAAGCAAAAAAACAAGAGCAGCATGCATGATTCACATAAATGGTAAGAAAGAAGCGAAGGCAAATAAAAAACAAGGGAAAATGCACATCATCGTATTATTTACTGACTTGCAGCAGAGCTTGTCATGGAGAAAATGCACCTGGCATTCAAGCCACTCTGTTGAAGAAGAGCCTCGGAATGCAGAGTTTTCCGGCGGTTTATGTAGCCCAGGAGAAGACCACGGCGGCGATGATGCAATCCGGCCGCCAATGCCGGAGTAGATCGTCGAAGGGTCGCTGGAAGACGGCCATGGACTTGAAGAACGGGATCATGAGGTCGGGGGACTTGATGGCGTTGACGTTCTTGCAACCTTCCGGCAGCCCCGCCTCGGCAAAGGGGGATTGGATGCTGTGGGTTTGGATTTGAAGGCCCAATTGAGCGTCAACCTCGCCATGTCTATCATTGGGATCATGTGGCCTTCAGCCAAAGGGAGGAAGATGACGTGGAGGCCTACGGAGGATAAATTAAATTTTGCAATTTAATTAATTTTTATTAAATAATTAATATGATAAATCATGTTGACAAAATAAGTGAAATGATGAGGTGGAAAAATAATTTTTTTTATTTTTTAATTTCCACGTCACCTAGTTAACGGTCAAACTTTATAGTTGACTGCCACGTAGGACAAATTTAACGGAGTGTAACGGCCGGTGACTAACGGTGAAACGATTCGTAAAGTTAGTGGCGAATAAGAAAGAAAAGTAATTTGGGTGGCAAACGTGAAAGATTTGTATAATTTGAGTGACCAAACGTGTAATTTAGCCAATAATTTTCATAACTTAACTGTTGTCGTCGTTTTTGTTGTTATGAAGACATGTTGATGGTATGGTAACTGTTTCTCCTACTTTTGTTGTTCGTGACGAGCTTTATACAGAGTGCTGCATTTTATTTTAGCTCTAGTACAACCAAAAACAGATCTGCTTCTAATCTCCTGCATCTGAGAGCTAGTGGATACAGAAAAAACAACATCAACCAATTTACAGGCATGTAAAACTCAGCTTGAATAAAGTTCGTTATGATAGACTGTTATAAACGCACTGCTACGGATCGGGAAGTCGCTGAAATCGACAAAGCAAGAATACGAAAGCGAGAATCGAAAACACGACACACAATTTACGTGGTTCACTAACATGATGTGTGTTATCTACGTCCACGGGCGAGAGAGAGCCAGTTTCACTATATTGAGGACATTACAGATTACAGAGGAGTATGAGAAGTATTTATAGTACTTCTCCATGTGGATCTAAACCTAATCCAATCTGACAAAGGAAACGGTTACAGACCAGGCCTAGAACCCGAACCCAAATAACATTGAGCTCATACACCGTGGGCCGGGGGCGTTGCCCCTGGACCCCACTCGCTGACCGGGCAGCGAAACCCCGATTACCAGTCGTAGCGGCTGATAGTCCGATTCAAGTCACATCAACATAGACAATCGTACATTAAAATTCTTCACATATTCTTCACATATGAAACAACCACCCACTAAGGTGTTTTTTTTCCCCAACCAGAATAGACAACTTGTGTAAAATAAAACCCAATTACGTGACACTGTGACAGTTTACTTGGCTAAGGTTGCGGTTTCACCCTTCTTTGCCGAGCCAAACAGCTTACCAGTTCGATAATGCTCGCGGACATGATAAGGACATTTGTAAAGCAGATCCTGTGCCTCAGAATGTCTGCCCTCCTTGAAGAAAGATTCAAGAACATACTTATAAGCTTCCAATGATGGATACTGTTTACTACTCAATGACTGAAGGAGATCTGCAGCAGCTTGCACTGTCCCATGCTTGGATATGTATTGAACAAAAGGCCCGGGATATGGAGGGTAGTTGTGCTGTCTCATCAAACGAAGGAGATTCATGGACTCTTCAAGTTTGCTTGCTCCTAAGAGGCTTTCTATAAGAAGTTTATATGTAGCTTGCCGAGGTCTCACATGAGCATTATTGATCATCTCGACAAGGAATGTGTATCCACAATCTATCCTCTTTTGATCAACAAAGCCCTTCACCAAAACCTCCACCAATTCAGCATCAGCACTACCATCTTTTCTCATCATTGTACCAAAGCACATTAGTGCCTCTTCAAGCTGCCCAGCATTACAGTGGCCTTGAATTAAAATGGTCCAGGTCTTGATATCCGGCGGACATCCATTTGCTTCCATATCATCCAAGACTTTAGAAGCTTCTTCAAATCTTCCTGCTTTGCAAAGACCAAAAACCAAGTTGCTGTAGGTGATATTATCTGGCTCATATCCTGCAGATCTCATAGCATTCGCAATCTGGTCTGCTTTTGCGAAGCTTCCTGCATTCACAAGCGACCTATATAGCCCATTATAAATAGCTCTCGAGAGAACATTCCCACTCGCCGCATACTTCTTCGCAACTCTGAAAACTAAACTCAGATCCAGCTTACGGCTTGCAGACATGTTGCTAAGTAGGAAACTACAGTCTTGCGTAGAGGGTTTAAACGGACTATCCATCATGAACTCATAAAGGGTTACTGACTCCTCATACATTTCGTACTTACGGAAACGCCCCGAGATCTTCATATAGCTATCAATATCAATATAATAACCAGCACTCTTCATCTCCTCAACAATGATCCAGAATTCCCCCATTGTATCTTCCTTGCCAAGAACCCTTGCCATTGCATTGTAAGTGACGGTGTTGTGCTTATAACCCTCGCACGTAGCAACCCAACGGAAAAAGCTCAAAGCTTTGGAAGGATGATCCTTGAGCTCCCTCAACACTCTTACCACGAAATTATCGGACAGCACAGTCTTCATATCCTCCAACCTTTTCTTAACCTCATCACCCCACTCTGCTTCCACAATAGCGCCAGCCACCTTCTTGGCCACACCATCCGTCGCATTTTCTCGAATCATCCTGTCATAAAATTGTTTCAACGCCACAGCATCACTCTGCATTTGATCCTTCTTAAGCACCCCCAAAAGCGTACCATACGTCTCCTCATCCAAACAAAATCCCTGCTCCTCCATTTTCCTTAGAGTGATCCAAAACTTCTTCATGGAATCCTTCTTAGCAAATATTCTAAGCAGCAAGTTATAAAGCGAGGAGCTTGGTACAAACCCATCTCTCGTTGTGACCCAATTGTAAAAACCCCATGCCTTGTCTGGCGCTTGGTCCAGTTTCTTCACGATATAAACAATCGTCTCATGGGTAATCGGGAAGTGGGCATTCTCCAACTGGTTCGTCAACTCCGTAGACCAATGATTTCCTAACAGTAGTTCTACCACAGAGTTCGCCGAGGAGGAGAAGCAGCGCCTTTGATGGGCGTGGAAAAAGTGAGACTCGGACTGAGAAATTTGAGAGAAACTGGTTACCTGAGAGAGCAGGGGCACCCGCGGAGCAGGGTGAAGTCTAGTAGAGCAGGCAATTCTGGAGAGCTTGATGGCCGAA